CTGGTTTTGGCTGGGATAGAGTTAATTTTCTTCCTAGTAGCTGGCATAGTGCTGTGTTTTGGATTTAGTATGAGAAGAATGTTGATAACACACTGATGGTTTAGTTGTTTGCTGAGCAGGCTTACGCCAGTCAAGGGCTTCTCAGCTTCCCCTGCTCTGCCAGGGGCACAAGAAGCTGAGAGGGGGCACAGCCAGGACAGCTGACCCCAACTGGCCAAAGGGACATCCCAGACCATACGATGTCAAGCTCAATATATATAACTGGGGGAAAGAGAAAGAAGGGGAGGGATGTTCAGAGTGATGGCATTTGTCTTCCCTAGTAAGTTATACGTGATGGCGCCCTGCTTTCCTGGAGATGGCTGAACCCCTGCCTGCCAGTGGGAAGCAGTGAGTGAATTCCTTGTTCTGCTTCGCTTGTGCGCATGGCTTTATCTCAGCCCATCGGTTTTCTCGCTTTTACTCTTCTTATTTTCTCCCCCAACCCCCTGGGGCGGGAGTGAGCGAGCGGCTGTGTGGGGCAGATATTTTTACAAGATGGTGTCTGTCTAAATGGTCCAGCTTCCCAGTTGGCGCTGGCATAGTCTCATACTAATGCAGCTGCCTGGCTTGATAGATGGCACCATGGCCAGCCTGCAAGTGTCCATACCTGAAAACATGGACTTGCTGCTTCTCACCTGAACCTTTCGCCACTCCCAGAGACTGCTGGGGGACAAGACTCTATATTCCATGAGCATATAGGCTGTCATATATTGCTGTTGGTAAAATAACTTACGCTTTGTCTTATGCTTGGCAGCATAAGTTGCGTTAGTCAGGGCTCTAGGCAGGAGGAGGTTGGGACTAGGCTTCCCTCGGTGTGATAGGGGAAGGGGAACCTGCAGTGCCTGTGGTGCCTTGTTCGGGTAACGCTGCATACCTGGCCCAGCCTGGGCACGTCTAATGCAGTCCCATGCTGGAAATCATGAAAATTGATGAGAATAAGCTTTAGTAATTCCAAAAGGAGCAGAGAAACAGACTGAAGGTATAAATGAAACACAATTTTGTGACTGTGGAGCATGTTTTGTTATGAATACTTTTGTCTGTCTTAGTCCAATAATTGTAACTTATAATAAACTGATAGAGCAGAAGGAGAGAGGATCTTTCTTTGTGCACAGTTGCAGAAAAAGAGCATGTAAATCTGTCAAAATTGCCACCATTTTGGATTTTCCTTCTTTCTTCAATATTTAATCATATGTTGCTTGGCTATTGCACTCCTTGACATTTCACTTTACATTATTTCAGTTGAGAAAAAAAGATAGTTTTGTTATCTCTAGGGACTGATTTTCTTGGACTGAGTAGTTTGAGTAATTGGACAGCGATTTCCAAAGTATTGTGCTAGAAAACCCTTACAAAGCAGTGCCAGAGTACTCTAGGTTTGTTTTTTTAAAAGCAGAAATGTAAATGTTTTCACGATGTTGAAAGGTATTTCTGAGTTTCTTAGATTTATTCATTAATTTTACAAGAATGACGAGTTCTGTCCAAAAAGGCTGGCATCCTTAGACAGAAACTTTGTTGGAGCAGCTTTGGTATAACAGATGGGCTGGAGCAGCCCCTTGTGAAAGACGGAGGCAATCAAAGCTGTGATGGCAGCTTATCGACAGTCATTTCTGTTTTGATTGAGATCTACAAAGCCCAGCATGGTGGGCTGCTTCTCTGCTGCTGGGAACGCTGATGCATCTGGAATTGTCTGTAAGACCTGCTTGGAGGGGGGGAAATGATCCTTTTCTTTAAACATCGGATGTAGTTGCTTTAAAAAAATACTGGCTCTTTAAAGGAGAAGAGGGAGGAAAGTGTTTGGGGGTGCTTCATTTCCTCCAATACTGTGCGTTTTCAGTTTATAGTCAAAAGACTAGTCTGAGGATTCTTGAATGTGGAAATGTTTCAGGGTGGGATTGTTGGGGTTTTTTTTAACGCACAGCAACTCTTGACAGAACAGCTTCATAATTTTGACATCCTCAGAAATGATCAATATTAAAATCTTTATATTTTCAACTCAGTTACTTTGTGTGGCTTTGTAATTGTCTGAATTAATTTGGTTTCTAAGATGCAATACTTGTTTAAAAATTCCAAGGATACACGTGTGCTTTTGTCATTTTCTTTACATTTTAGAAAATGATCTAGGACTGTACAACTTTGTCACTGAAATTGCATTCCCTGCAGGAGCTGCAGTGTTCTCTGTGGTTGTATAATATCACAAGCTGACCTTTTTCTGCCACATAGTTTTTTTTCATTGTCAGGATGAAATTAAAAAGACCTGTCATCTTGTTACATTAATAGGCAGTTAGGGCTGCACAAACTGGTCTGAAAAATGGGCATACTAAAATAGGTAAACATAAGCAAATATGTTTAGTAGTTACCATAATCTGTGCAAGTGTTCTTTTAAATTTTTTGAAATTAGATTGCTATGCCATAATAAACATGAATGTCATTGCCCAGTGCCCAGGCTTTGGTAGCCTGGCATTTGGATTTGTGGAATCTAAATTTCCCTGGTTTGTTTTCCATAGAAAGCAAATATCTTGTTTATTTATGGATAAACAGTAGGCTTCTAGTTGAGAATATATAACCAGTGACTGCAATAAGCA